CAAGGACTGCGCCAAAGTGAAGACGGTTTTCCTCAAGGTGAGGATCCGCCTGTCCCGGGGAAGCTGCAGCCAAGGGGAGGAAAAAGGAGGGAATTTGGGAGACGAGGATGAGAGTTTTGTATCCATTTTTGCTGGGCTTGAACATTGCAAGAATATGATTCATGCTCTGCTGCTAGGGGTGGAAATCTGCCCCTAGGGAGGTTGAAGCACCGACCTTACCCAGTCCGCTAAGTGGGAAATGTTTGGGAAGAGGGAGATGTTTGATCCAGCTGGAGATCCAGAGAATTTCTGGCTTAGGAAAAGGAAACGACGGTGGGCAGAGGACAATGCACGAGCCAGAGCAGTGTCGTGATCCCAAAGGACTCTTGGGTTTAAACAACAGCAGCACAATGCCCCAAAGAGATTGGGTTCTCCAAGAGGGGTCTGTCCATATTCCCCATATCCACGTGAACTCTCCCATTCCTTGTGCCCAGCTCCCCGGGAAGAGGGGGTTCGGCCCGGCTGGATGGACAGTCCAGGCCAAGATGGAGATCTACCTGTGGCTGGGCCTCAACAAGCAGCGCAAGGACTACCTGAGCGGCCTCCCCTGTGGGTTCGAGGAGAAGAAAGTGCCCCGAGGCCAAAACCTGCCCTCCTTCCCACCCATCAGCCTCCTGTACACCAGTAAGGAGCTCCCATGGGATGGGGCATGGAGAGGGCGAGAGGGAGGGAGCCTGGCTGGACACCCCCTGGTCCAAGGGTTTCCAGGAGTTAAGGGGGAAATCGTTCCAGTTGCCTCAGGAGAGTTGTGGGGTGGGAATTGTGTCCCCTCATGACAATCCTATTCAGAGTTGTTGCCCACGCAACAAGGATGCCAAGGAAATCCCTATTTATTTGGGATTTACACTTTGAGTTGCGATCCTTCACCCATGAGCAAAACCAGGCTCCTGAGATGTCCCTTGGGCGGGCTCCCAGAGGCCATCCCATCCCATTCCCTCTCTCTTCCAGAGAAACAGGTGTTCCAGCTGCGAGCCCACATGTACCAAGCCAGGAGCCTGTTCGCAGCCGACAGCAGCGGCCTCTCGGATCCCTTTGCACGGGTCTTCTTCATCTCCCAGAGCCAGTGCACCGAGGTGAACATTTCTGGGATGCAGGCATGGAGGGATGCGGCTCTGCAGGCTCCACACTGCTCCCGTGGCACAGATCCCATGAACAAGGATTAGGCTGATCCCGTGCTCCTGTGGGGGGAGAGCAGCTCTGGAATTGGGCATTGACTCTTTCCAGGAGATCTCTCCCCAGGAGTCCATTCCCAATATATGTCCCACATCCCACTGGCTGTGATTCCCCATGATTCCCCGTGATTCCCTGTGATTCCCCGTGATTCCCTGTGATTCCCTGCCGGTTTAGGCAGAACTGGGTCATGCTAAAGTGATTTTTAGTCTTCCCAGTCCAAGGGTCTCCAAGCTTTATGAAGCCTGGACACTGGGAATAATCCAGCTCTGCTCATCTGCTATTGGATTGCTTCCCTCAGAAGAATCCTTGGGAAATTCCCAATGTCTCCCTGATCCAAAAAACACACAGCAGCCCCACCTGCCACCCTTTCCCAGGACCCTGGTCCATTCCTGCAGCAGTAGGAATCCCTCCCATTTTCCCAGGTTCTCAACGAGACCCTTTGCCCAACCTGGGACCAGCTCCTGGTGTTCGACAACGTGGAGCTGTACGGGGAAGCTCACGAGATGCGGGATGACCCCCCCATCATCGTCATCGAGATCTACGACCAGGACACCGTGGTAAGAAAATCCCACGGAATTGTGCGTGGTTTGGATGCCGGGATCTCTCCAGATTTGGAGGCAGAGGATTTGGGGAGCTTTTTTTCTCTCCTGATTCTTGGAAAATGGTCCTGTCACATCTACCATGGAGCTTCTGCTCATAAATCTCAGATGTGGCTTGATGTATCTTATTTTTGGAGAGGGAAGAAAGAGGCTGCAGCCAAG